AAAATGTGTCTGCGTGGGCATAAGTGAAGATGAACCGTGTGAAGGTATCCATTGGTAACGCTTGGAAATGATGCGGGAAGTTTCCTGAAAAGTCTGGATGCTATGTCATGATAGTAAAGAGCTATCAAAGTGACTCAGAAAGAAGACCTTGGGTATGCAAAGAAAGACAGTGTGAGCAAGGAAACTGATCAGCATGGATAAAAATAGAATTGACAACTGAATAAAACAATAATAATTAAAAGAATGCAGGCTATCTGCTCAGTGGTAGAGTGCTGCCTAGCAAACTTGAGACCCAGGATACTCTCCTCAAAGCCACAATTAAAATGGAAGACTAAAAATAATGTGGAACCAACATAACACAATAATAATGTTAAAGACAGAAAATTAATAGAGGTCCTTTTCACTTAGGGAGAAGGTAAAATAACTTTCTAGGCTTTTATTGTTTTGTGCTATTTTTTATCATCAAGGTAATATATAGAGGGACTACAGTTACATAAGTAAGTACATTTCTTGTCAAACTTCTAGGCTTTTTGAATTTAATTCAAACACTGATGTTTAAATGTAGTCTCTGAGTGCCAGGTGCTCCGACCTATAATCCTAGCTACTCAGGAGGCTAAAATCTGAAGATCACAGTTCAAAGCCAGCCAGGCAGATATAGCCTTATGGCCAGTTAGCCAACAAAAAGTCAGAAGCAGAGATGGGCTCAAATGGTAGAGCACCAGCCTTGAGCAAAACAGTTAAATAAGTGGACAAGTCTCTGAGTTCAAGCCCCAACAATGGCACAAAAAATTTTAATTAAATGAATGAATAAAAATAAAAATAAGTAAAGCCATAAAAAGAGTAATCAATTTTAAGAAAAACTTCTAAAGTAGTAAATGAAAGAATGCTCATTCAAGGCAAAACAGAAAGAGAAGAAACAGAAAGGGAAACAAAAAGCAATCTAAAAGGAAAACTATGATGTTCTAAGTAAATGAAAAATGTAATAAATCACCACAAATATAAATAGAATATACTGAACAGTTTAAAGAGACCCTCAGACTCTTGTCTACTCTCTATAAAATATACATAGAAAATAATAATCCAGAATCACAGAAATGGAAAAAAGAGAAATATACATACCAAATATGCACTAACTACACAAGAACTAATTAGGCTGTGTTAGTAGCAAGAAAAAACTGCTATCCAGGACAGAGAATATTAGAAAACAATGTCAACAAAATCTTTTAGCCCAAAGATTAAGAATTAAAAAGTGGTCAAAAAAAGATAGAAAAGGAAATTTGAGCACCAATCCAGAGGGTAGAACACAAATACAAGGAGCTTTATTTAGTAAGAGAGAAAATGGAGGAGAATAGGAAGGGGTAGAGAAAATGAGCACAAGAAAAAATATCAGGATGGAAGACGGGGTTTTTCAGACAGCAGAACAAAGAACAACTCAGTCACTAGCCATCAGAATGAATGTAAAGGACCCAAAACTAAGCCAAATCATCAGAAAAACTCCAAGCCTGGAGATAGAGAAGATAACATAAGATTTCTGGAAAGAGAAAGCAGGCCACATGTAAATAAACAGAAATGACGATGGCTTCGAGTTTCATGAACAGCATCATTGGAATGGAAAGTGCAGTGGCATCTTATCTTTCAAAATTCTGAAAAAAACTACCTCTAACTTAGGATAGCATAGCTGGCTGAACAACCAAGGCAGAAGGAGAAGAATGCTATTTAAGAATATGTTAAAAAAAATATTTCTCACACAATGTAATGAGCAGAGAATCTGATCGTGAAATTTATAAGTACATAGAAAAGGAAGCAAAATAAACTCATTTCATAAGTAGCTTGAGTTGGGTGTTTCTTTATAGTAATGTGCAGGTAACTAAGAAATTCCTAGTCTCTTAACATCCATTCACTCTTTCAGAATTTTTGAAGAATTACAATATATTGGTAATTACATTTACCATATTGCACAACGAACCTCTTGAACCTATTCTTGCTAACTATAATTTTGTATCCTATGATTCACATCTTCTGAGCCCTCCTCCACTCAGCCTAACCCCTAGTAACCAGCAGTCTACTCTACTTCTAGCAGATCAATTTCTTTAGAATCTACTTATATGGATTATTTTTATTAAAATCAGTATGCCTATGTTCTAAATAACCAAACTCATGTTAATGAAATAATAACCCAAGGGGCTGAGAAGGTGGCTCAGTGGTAGAGTGCTTGCCTTGCATGCATGAGGCCCTGGGTTTGATTCCTCAGCACCACATAAGCATTAAAAAAAAGCCAGAAGTGGTGCTGTGGCTCAAGTGGTAGAGAGCCAGCCTTGAGTTGAAGAGCTGAGGGACAGCGCCCAGGCCCTGAGTTCAAGCCCCAGGACTGGTACAAGGAAATAATAACCCAGGTAGTAAGTGAAATACTGCTTCTAGTCCCTTTGGCGTATGATCAAAGAACTTCTCTTAACCTTCTCCAGATGGTCATTTAAAGAATCAATTGTGCCTTTAAAGGCATAATTTAAAGTTAGAAAATGAAGCAAGTGTCAATACCTCACTCCTATAATCCTAACTACTCAGAAGGCTGAGATCTGAAAATCCTGTCTTGAAGCCAGCCAGGGAAGGAAAGTCCATGATAATCTTATCTCCTATTAACCAAAAAGCCAGAAGTATGTTATGGCTCAAGTGGTAGAGCACCAGCCTTGAGCAAAAAAAGTAAAGGTCAGTGCCCAAGTCCTGAGTTCAAGCCCCAGTACTGGCACAAAGAAATAAAAACTAGAAAATTAATTGTTATGCTTTTTCCCATATTTTTTGAAAATTATATGAATAGTATCAAATACAATGTCTCCACTTTATTTTTGGAGTAGTAAATATTAATAGCCTTGTTGTTGACCCACTGCAGAATTTTGGTAGAAAAGAATCACAAAGGAAATTTTCCATCTACCTCCTATCACACACAGAGAAGCAATAACAACAATGCAAGGATTGTTTTATTTCATCTTAACAATCTTAATGGGCACACAGCAGAATGCTTAGGAAAAATCAACTTAGTAACATTATTATTATGAAAACATCTTAATGACAGATTCTATATGATTCACTTATATTTAATTATTTGAAATTACAGGTTGGATTCTATTAGCTTGGTGTAGCAACTTGTAAATCATAGTTAGAGACTTTAAAAAAAGCTGTGAGTGAAATGGTCTTTTAAGATTTTATCATTGCTGGGTGCTGGTACCTCCTGACTGTAATCCTAGCTACTCAGGAGGCTGAAGTCTGAAGTTCAAAGCCAGCTGGAGCAGGAAAGTCTGTGAGACTCTTATCTCCAATTAACCAACAAAAGCTGAAAGTGGAGCTGTGGCTCATATGGTAGAGCCTTAAGCAAAAAAGCTCAGGGACAGCACCCAGGCTCTGAGTTCAAATGTTGATACTAGCACACACACAAACACACACACACACACACACACACACACACACACACAGATATTACACATCATAAATAGCTCCAATTACACAGAATACTCTATGACCATAACCTTAAATTAAACCAGACATCAGAAACCAATTTCAATCCACAAAGGAATTCAGACAAAACTTAAGTAAAAATTGAAATGACAAAATTATGGAAGTCTTTCTATTTTCATGTTAACTTTAGTCTGGGTGCATCTGGAGTAGGAAGCAAAGATCTACCTACGTCTAGTTTAAAAATTGCTACCTTTTCCATTAACTCATTTGACTACAATATTGGCAATGTATCTTCTCTTCCATTTTCTCCACCATCACCTTCAACCAGAGTGACTGTACTACCAATTAGAATTTTCAACCAGAAATCATGGGAGAGAGGGATAAAAGCTACCAGCACAACTATGTTCATCGTAGCATTATTCACCATAGCTAAGATTTGGAACCAATTCAGATGCCCCTCAATAGATGAACAGATCAAGAAAATGTGATATATATATATATGTATTATATATATCACTTATATACATATACACACACAATGGAATTCTATGCTTCCATCAAAAAGAATGATACAACCCTTTTTGTAAAGGAATGGAAAAAAAAAAAAAACATATTAAGTGAAGTAAGACAGACCCAAAGAAACATAGGACCTATGGTTTCCCTCATTTGTAATAATCAGTAGATGTCTAGGATAGCCCTAGCAGATAAACAGAATGGCTCAATAGCTATGTACATATGACCATATAAGATGATGCTAAGCAAAATGAACTCCAAGACACAAGAGGTTTTTCTTTGTTGTTGTTTTTAAATGTACTATGTGATTTCTTGTTTCTTCTGTATCCCCCACCCCCACCCCCGGCCGATCCCGTTGTCACTGTATTTGATTTTGGTACCCGGGGTATTGTACATATATATTTATCTGAATTAGGAAAGGGAAGGGGAACAAAAAAATGGTGAGACAAAGGACAAAGGGGGAACCAATGCAACAGTGATACTCACAAGAAACTATGCTGGAACTAATCCGTACAACTTGCGGGGGAGGGAAAATGGGAGAAAAATGAGGGAGTGGGTAACAAGTTCAACAAGAAATGTACTCACTACCTTACTTATGTAATTCCTCTGTACATCACCTTGAAAATAAAATTTAAAAATAAATAAATAACTCAACAAAAGTAAATATAGCCAGGTACTGTGGCTCATGGCTGTAATCCTAGCTATCAGGAGGCTGGGATCTGAGGATGGTAGTTCAAAGCCAGCCCAGGCAGGAAAGTCCATGTAACTCTCCAATTAATCACTGAAAAAGCCAGAAATTTTGCAGAAGCTCAAGTGGTAGAGCACTAGCCTTGCTGCTCTCATGACTGGCAAAAAAAAAAAAAAAGTAAATATAATGGTCAAAAATTAAGGTAAGTAAATACAAGTTATGGAAAGTGTTTAAGTAAGATAAAGGTTGAAAGTAGAAGCTCAAACAATGTTTGCGTCATATGTATGGGATCCTTTAATCCAGATGCTTTCAAAGCACACAATTCACAGTACTCAAAACAACCACAACTTACCTCGTCCACATTTTCAAAGGCATTGATGATATCATAAGGTAAACAAGACAGCAGGTCGATCACAAACCAGGTTTTCAGATAGTTCATCCGTATGAGTTTAGGGTCTGAAATGACCTCTCCACCAGGCCCCACAAAAGTCGTATGAAAATTTAAGACGATATCAACAAGAAAAATAACGTCCACCACGCTGTCCAGCACCAGCCAGGCTATATTGTTCTGCTTTGTTTTGAAAGAAACATTGTAAGGAACCATAATGGCCGTGTAGAAAGTCAGGATTAAAATCACCCAATCCCAAGTCGTTTTAAAAGCACAATAGTGTAAAATGATGTGTGGTGGCGTCTTTGGCGCTTCTTGCTTATACTGAGGAAGGATATCAGATCCCAGCTGAAGAACCTAAAAGAAAAAAAAAAGAAATGATTTGGGCAGATGGGTGTAGTTCGTAATGAATTCAGTCAAAGAACAGCCTATGTGTCTTGATTCTTGATTGCCTGGTCAACAACACTTTGTAGTTTCATTTTTTTCCTTGGGAGTACCCTAAAGTTTGTTTAATGGAAGTCATTGCAAGTCCAGTCATTCTATGAAACGATCTGTCAGTGAATTCCTGGGCTTTTTTGCTCAAGGCCAGTACTCTACCACTTGAGCCACAGCTCCAATTCTAGCTAGCTTTTTTTTTTTTTTTTTGGGGGGGGGGTGGTGGTGGTAAGTTTATTGGAGGATAAAAGTCCCACAAACTTTCCTGCCCAGGGTGGCTTCAAATCATGATCCTGACATCAGCTGCCAGAGTAGCTAGATTTACAGGCATAAGCCAAAGCACCCAGCTCCATTGTGCTTTTGTACCATTAGACACATTCTTCTGTGCTGGAGATCTCAGAGCAGACCCTCTGTCAGAGGGTCTCACAAGGCAGGGGTGTGCATGTTTATCTCCACTCTGCACAAACATTACCTAGCTGAAGTTAATCAGCCAATGCATATGGAAAATTAATGGAGACTAGAGTCTTTGAAACTGGGGATCAGCTCTACCCTTAGGAACCTAGGTGGAACAGAGAACAAAATTCACGTTGCCAAAAATAGAAATTATGCCTCAAATTTCATGGCAAAAGCAGATACTTTAACTTGAGCAAATTATATGAGTGTTTGATGCATACTTGGTGCTTCTTTTGGATATGTTTTTAAAAATTCTAGGAGTACAAACTTCAGTACCACAGATTAAATCTTTGTTGACAGTGTGATTATTTCTCCATGTTCTCTAAAATGAAACCTAAGACCTGACAGAAAGCAGTTTCACATCAGAATCAGGCTTACAAATTAGGGATGAGTGATTAAACAATAACAATAATCAAAAGACAAAGCAATCCAGACATCAGTGGTTCACCCCTGTAATGCTAGCTACTCAGAAGACTGAGTACAATCTGAGGATCGTAGTTTCAAGTCAGGAAGGAAAGAAGGCAGGAAGGAAGGAAGGCAGGAAGGCAGGAAGGAAGGGAGGGAGGAAGGGAGGGAGGGAGGGAGGGAGGGAGGGAGGGAGGGAGGAAGGGAAACAAGACCGAAGGAAAAAATCAGATGGGCAGAACAGTGAAAGTGTCTGCTATTGCTACTGCAGGTACTCTCACTGAATGCTGTCATAGTGTTAACATTCTTGTATTAGTGTTGTCTTTTCTTTTACTCCTTGATGACAGGATCATCTCTTACTCACCTTTATATCCTTTGTAGAGCTAAGCACAGAATAGGCCCTCAATAAGTGTTTGCCATATACATAAATTTGGGGATACATTAATTCCCTATCCCATTTGAACAAATTAAACTCCACAATTTCATAAGACTCACTAAGATGTGGTAAGCATCTCGGAAAGAGTTTTTTTTTAATTTATTTTATTTTATTTGTGAACATACTGTACAGAGGGGTTACAATTACATGGGCAGGATAATACGTACATTTCTTACCAAGCATTGCAGCCTCCTCCTTTGTTTATCCTTCACATCCCTTCCCAGCCTCCCCCTTCCCTCCCCAGTCGCAATCCTCCCCCCCCCCGAAAGAATTTTTTTAAGAATATTTAGGACCATACAAGGAGAAAATTAATTACAAGCTAAGTATTTTAATATAATAACTAGAAATAATTATATTCATCATTTGGGGCAAAATAAAATGCAACCAACACCACCATCTTGGGGAGCAAAGTCAGCCTCATACTTACTTCAGCTAATCTGGAATGCTTATGGACCACCTCCGTTTTATTCATTGGTGTGAGCTGCTGCAAAACACTTCGGCTATTCGTCAGAGCCCGTGTCAACCGAGCAAATTTTGTCCAACCTCACGAACAGATAAGGAAAGATAGTCTCAGTTTTTCACGCATAACGGAAGAAGAAAATGGCATTCTTGCTAATATTTAAAAGGATCTCGGCAACCATATAACATCCAAAACAAATGAAAAGGGTCCATCAAAAGGCATTTTAATGCTACATAGATACCAGCAAAAATTTGACATGTGGTTATAAAATAATGAATAAGACCTGTGGAGATGGCAAAGCCACTTGAATGGCCAGGGTTACTTGTCATAGACTAATACATAAATTTTTTAAAATATGCTTCTACTGTTTCAAATCAATGCTATTTCTATTGTAATAGAATTTATTATTGCTATACAATTCATTATAGAAGCAGGTATTAGCCAAATAAAAACAACCCTGCTGTCTATCTGTGTGCAGATATACACACATTTTTTTTTAAAAAAAGGCAATCTCAACCCATCTCAAGTATTATGGTTCACATCCCATCTTCCCCATAACACAGATAATTGTTATTTCTCTCTTATTAACAACTGCAGTGCTATTTAAAAGTTATGTTTAGAATATCTAGAATTTTAATAATGTTTTCCAAAAGAGCATGAGCTTCTGGGAGAAATGAATGTGAATTTAATGGGAAAGAAATTTCTTTTGGGATCTCAAATTGCCATTATTAAAATCATTAATTTCCAAGAAATGTCAATGAGATGTGAACAAATAGAACAAAACTAACCATATTCCAGTCCTGTCTCTACTCTCCTTTTTCTAGGAAGCTCAAAAGCTCTAGTCTAGTATAGAATTCACTAAAACTATTTGATAACTTCTCTAGTATTACCTGTTACAGGTATTTGTTTAACAACTCCTTAAAATGAGAGCTCCAATTCATCCAAAGAAATCATTCTTATAGAATAATGAAATTTCAGATGATATGATAAAAGATGAAGAAAGAAATCCAGGATATATGCCACCTTAATATCCATCAAACCACACAATGCAGGTGGCAGTGTATGTTATTATTACTCTGGTCTAATCCTGATTTAATTGAAGCTTTGCATTTCCCCTCCAGTTCCACTCCTTTAGGGTGGGAAAGAAGTAAAATGACATAAACTGATGGAAGGTTATTCCTTTTTCTTTATTAATGCATATCATCCTTGTGATTAGAATGAAAAATATTACTTTTGGGGAAATTACATGCAGCCCCAAAGCTTTCTCTCTATAATGTGCTGGAGAGAGAAAAGGCAGCAGAGATTGCATGAGCTTAGTAAAAACTCAGTATCAATTGAAAAACACAGCACACAATCTCCATCGTCAACCTAGATTTTTGGTCTGAGCACCAGAGCCACATGGCTATTTGCTATTGCCCACCCCCTTTACCAAGAGGTTCTACAGAGATATCTGACACTTGGCATCTTCAAACATTGATCTCACCATTCTCTTCTCCCGAACCAAGCCCTGCATCTTCCAAGTATCCCTGATCTTGGTAACTCACTTCATGATATTTCTGTTTGTCAACACACTCATTCATGTACACAAACACATGTATGTCCAATCATTTCCAAACCTTATACATTATAATTTATCAACAAATATCTCTCCTATCAAGTTACCTCCTTCTATCTATCCTTAAAATGTCAAGGAATATATCATCTTCTGATGTGTTACCATCTGAGCAAGGTAGCATTATCCTAAAGACCACATCCACACCATTGACTGTGGAAAGCACAAATATGAACACGCTCATTGTCTGTGTCAGCCCATTCAGCGCAACATGGAAGCTTTCAAGATAACAACATATATCTTGGGTGGATCATTGTCTTTCTGATACCAAAGATTTACAGTGTATCCATCTCTTGACGTTTATTCATACCAATGCAGGCTTTTGCAAATTAAGTAAAGAATACATCTTGCACACCTCATGATTCCCGTGGTCCCATGTTTTCACATTTTTTTATTTTTTTATTGTGAAGGTGATTAAGAGGGGTTTCAGTTATGTAAGTAAGGTAATGAATACATTTCTTGTCAACCTCTTCCCTCAATTTTCTCCTATTTTCCCTCCCTCCAGCCCTCCCCACAAGCTGTACAGATCATTTCCAACATATCGTCTTGTGTATATGGCTGTTGCATTGGTTCTCCCTTGTCCTTTGTCTACAACAGCACTAGTAACACTGATGCAGCTGTTACACAACACTTGGTGCAGAGCCTCACATCAAATAGGTCATAGAGAAGTAAGCAATTCATTAATTGATTTGTAATTTTGCAATCAGATTGAAACTAAGCCTTACACTGTGTTGCTAGTGCTGCTATACTGGGTTAAAATGGTAATGGTGTCCTCAAATGACAGTGTCTATATTAGCTATCAATGTATTAAAATATTCCCTGACAATAATTTCCCTGTCTTAAATCACCTGAATGTTCTAATTGTATAGACTATTTCTAGAAACTTTCAAGTCAATCTGTTACTTACTGAAGGCTTCTATTTCTAACACAGATCATGTTGTACCTTTGTATACCTGAGTTGGATTAAATGAGAAAATAATTTTCATTCTGTGTATGCAATGAAGTTTGTCTAGAATCTGCATAGAAATAAATAAAAGGGAATCTTAATGTCATGCAGTTGCTGGTTCAAAGAATACACATCACCAAATGTCATATGCTCTCTCCTTCCATAATACCATGTCAGGAAATAAATACAAGAGGGAGCAGAAACATGGCAATGAAAACTTACTGTCATCCTCATATTTTCTATTGAAAAATGTACTATACACCACCATGTAAAGTTCCTAATTGAAGTATCTCCAAAAGCTCATTCAAGCTGGGCACTGGTGGCTCATGCCTGTAATCCTAGTTACTCAGGAGGCTGAGAGCTGAGGATAGAGGTTCAAAGCCAGCCCGAGCAGGAAAGGCCGTGAGACTCAATAAACCACTAGAAAACCGGAAGTGGGGGGAGTATGGGAAGGGAAGGGAAGGGAAAACAAAGAGGAGACAACAATGCTTGATAAGAAATGTACTCGTTATCTTGCCCATGTAATTGTAACTCCTCTGTATGGTAGTCTCACAATAAAAAAAAAAAAGAAAGAAAGAAAACCGGAAGTGGCGTTGTGGCTCAAATGGTAGAGTGCTCACCTTGAGCTGAAGAGCTGAGGGACAGCGCCTAAACCCAGAGTTCAAGCCCCACGACCGATCAAAAAAAACAAAAAAAGCTCATTCAAATATGTGCATTGATCAAGATAAATTATACTTACAATTGTATAACTACTTACAGATAATAAAAACTATTTGTGTATGCATATTTTATCAAAACATGTAATGTCCTATATATAATGTGTAATGATCACAATTGAAAAAAATCAAAGAATATCTCATCCCTTTACCTTACTTTAGCTTCCTAAAGAAAAAATTAAGCAGTAAAAGTAAAACATGTATAGGTAAGCCAGGCACCGGTGGCTCATGCCTGTCATCCTAGCTACTCAGGAGGCTGAGATATGAGGATCTAAGTTCAAAGCCAGCCCAGGCAGGAAAGTCCATGAGACACTTATCTCCAATAAACCACCAGAAAACTGGAAGTGGTGCTGTGGCTCAAGTGGTAGAGCGCTAGCCTTGAGCTGAAGAGCTGAGGGACAGCACCCAGGCCCAGAGTTCAAGCCCCATGACCAACCAAAAGAAAAATTCATAGGTTAAAAAAAATTTTCTATAGACAAAAAATATAGAAGAATATTGAAGAATTACAGAAAGAAAAAATTTTAAATACAATTGCCTTATCTGATTTACTTTCTCTGCTTTATACTGATTTCAATCGGTATACTCTGAGTTAGTCCTGTCCCTCAGCTTTCTTACTCAAGGCCAGCATCCTACCACTTGAGCCACAGCTCCACTTCTGGCTTTTCAGTACTGAACTAGATAGAGATCAGACTCTCCAGGGCTTTTCTGCCTGGGCTGGCTTTAAACCAAGATCATCAGACCTCAGCCTCTTGAGTAGCTAAAATTACAGGCTTGTACCATCAGGGTGTAGCTTCATTATTCCTTCTTAATCCTGTATATGTTTTGCTCATGCACACTGAAGAAGTTTCTAGATTTTCACTTTTATTAACAAAGCCACACTGAATTTCCCTCTGCCTAGCACTGTGGTCTTGAAGGCATCTGTAATTGCCTGTGTCATTAGCCAAATGAGTTCATTTGATCTTGCATGGAGCCTCGTTTTACAATAAAACTTGGGGGGATAAAAAGTAAGTGAGAAGCTACACTGTCTAGGTCAGCAAAAGAAGAAGAAGATGAAGCAGAAGAAACATACATCAGCAGTTCTAACTTTTCCCAGAGATACATTTACTGATCTCACCTTTAGAGAAACTGAACTGGTAGAGATGCTTATTCAGCACCGTCTGCTGGCATTGCTTAGATGTGGTCGATATGGGGTAAGATGAACAGGGAGCCGAAAGACTATAAGCCCAATACTTACTCTGTAGTTGTTCATGGCACCATCAGAACATTTGTTCTCCTAAAAGCCCAGGGTGCCAACTACTTCTTAATAAAACATTAGTTTAGCTCTATTGGGTTGCAATTAACCTCTCTGTCATAGTCTGCCTAATCTTAAAAGTAAAAGGAAGTCACAGAGGCAGTTAAATCAATCTATTAGACTGCAACATAAGATTTTTAATCTATAAGGGAAAAAAAAGCTTAGGTAAACAATCATGCTCTTGGCCAAAGAGATGACATGGTAGAATTACTCATCCATCATAGACTGCTTCTCTTCAAAAAGCAAATCATTGGTTCTCACAGGAGGAAAGTGTCTTTTTTTTTTTCCTTTGCTTTAATTCTACAAGAATTTTTTTTTAATCTCAATTATTGGCAAGAAGGTGCCATAACTATTTGGCACTGGATATTTCACACTGTAATTATCCTGGCAGTGTGGAAAGAGTCTGTTTCAAAATACTGTAAAGTATAAATGGGCAGAGAAATTTGGGCCATCTATTTTAGAACACATAATCAACAGAATCGATTTCTGGACTGGAACTTTCTCCTTCTGTATCAGCC